AGATAGGTTGCGTGAGTCCTCCTGTCTCCATGAGATGGCCCCTCCCCCGCGGGACCACCGCCGCCGCAAAGGGGGGAGCACGGCGCTTGCCCCCCCCCCACCACCACCCCCTTGTGGCAGTGCACCACACATGCGGTCTGTTCAATGTGCGCCGTGCTGTCGTGGCAGGAAGACACCCTTTGGCCTCCTTCTCTCCGTCTTCCTTTTCCCAACTACGGCAGATTTGTACGCGCCGAAAGTTAATTTATTTGCCTGAACACTAAAAAAGGAAAGGAACAATGGGGAATTGTGTAAAGTCTCTCTTCCCATCAATCAAGTGGTCACGCCGGCGTACTGTGGAGCTTGCCATTCTCACCGTTCTTGCCGTGACGTCCTCCATTCTCATCCTCGTTCTCCCGAGCTCACGGGTGTACTGCGTTATTGTGTTGTGTCTTGTCGTGATCTATGGAGCGCGACTGTGGCGGCTTCTTCCCAGCGACAGGCGCCGCGTCTCGAAGGAGGCACACGCGTTGGCGGACGCCGTACTGAGGGCGAGACAAGCAGTGGGCACCTTTCCGTCTCTGGCGCAGTCCATGCACCCCCCTCAGCCACAAGCCCACTCGATGTGCACCCCACAGCAGCCGCAGTCGCTATTTGCGGGGTCTGTGCAGGCACCNCCCCCCTCAGCCACAAGCCCACTCGATGTGCACCCCACAGCAGCCGCAGTCGCTATTTGCGGGGTCTGTGCAGGCACCATACTCACATATGGGCGCAATGCCAGCGGAACAGCTGCTGGCGGTTTCAATGGCCCAGTCTCATCAAGCAATCATGGCAGCCTCGATGCGTCAACAGCAACAAAAGCATCAACAGGCGATGCTGGCGGCTTCTATGAGCCAACAACAGCAATTGTTGATAGGCTCTCCAATGCCAGAGCAGCAAGTGCTAATGACTTCATTCCCATCACAACAGCAGCCCGTGATGAATTCATTCCTGCCACAGCAACCGATGATGCTGACTCCAGTTTTACCACCACAGCAGGTAATGTTGGCCTCCAACATCTCACAATCACGGCAAATGCACGGTTTCTCTCCTCGGTCGTCGCCGATGGGGCCCTATTTTATGGGCGGAGGCAACGTGCTGCCGCAGCTCACACCGATTGCCAAGAGTGCTGTGAGGTATGGCTAGCTTTGTGCCGTTATTACGTGTTGGCACGTCCCCAACCCCTTTCTTCATTGATGCTGGTGCTGCCATGTATTCTATGAGCTTCGCAAGAGTGCGTGGGACACGCTTTGCTTTTCCATTTTTCGTCCTTGCCTTCCTATTCCTCTCGCCTACATCCCCCTTCTGATTGGTGATTACGGACAGTGGCCCGATTGCCAGCGGCAAACAATGACATTCTCCCTTCGGCAAAAGTCTCATGAGGTTCGAAAGGGTAAGTCATCATTCCGCTTTGTGTTTATATGCATGTGTATGTGTTAGCTTTGTTTTTGTCTGTCTTTCTTTCTGGTTTTTGGTTTTGTTTAGTGGATTTATTTACCCCACTGTGGGAGTGCTGGACTCTTGTCGTGGCGTGTAGCGGTGATGGGGCTGTGGCTATTGTTCTCTCTGAGATTGACGGGTGTGACTCGTGTGAGTATCAACACCGTTTTGCATCGCTCTGCATGCGCACGCATATAAATTTTATCTCCTTTATTTTCTTTTATTATCATCATCCTATATGCCGTCCTTACCTGTTTCGTGTGTCTGCCCGAAGCGAGGGAGGACCTTGCTAGCCAGTAGCACCCCCGTTAGCGGTACCTCGAAACGCGACGGCATGTGCTGCGATGACGACAGTGTCACGCGCCGCCCCTTGGGCGTGTGCGGTTGGTGTCTGCGTGTCTGCAGCTACGTTCCGCCCCTCGTAGCGGCGCTGCTGATACTGGCGAACGTGCTTCCGTACTATCTGGCCTTCCTCCCCAGACTGCGCAAGCTGTGCATGCAGGGTGAGGCGTCGTGGCTGTTCTACACCTACTGTCACGCCGTAATGGCAGTTGCGGTGGTACTTGTGTACCTTAACTTCTTCCTGTGCATCTGCACGCCGCCGGGGTACGTGGAGCGGGAGCCGTGGTCCCGCGTGCCCGTCTACAAGGGCCGGGCACACAGTGACAATATGTATGAGGTGCGGCTGCTAGGATATGACGGAAAGCTGCGCTTCTGCACGCGATGTGAGATCTATAAGCCCGACAACGCACACCACTGCCGTCAGTGCCGCCGCTGCATCTACCACATGGATCATCACTGCCCGTGGATCAACAACTGCGTGGGACGTGATAATGCGAGGTTCTTTTTGCTTTTTTTGGCGTACATCCCACTGGGGGCCTTCCACATTGCATTCACAACAGCATACAGTTGCTACTATCAATTTTCGATGCACAGTGGGTCTGAAATGGTAGCAAGCACTTTCCACATTGTCTCCCTCGTGACTTCGCTTACGTTTGGAATTACGTTTTCTGTCTTCGCCGGCCACTTTCTGTGGATGGCGTTCCGAGGAGAGACGACGGTCGCGAATATGGCTCCAAGGCAGAGGATCGACAAGCAGCAGGCGATGGAGGAGCGAGAGAAATACCTCAACGACATATTCGGCTCGGACCTCCGCTGGTGGCGAATGATCTGCCCAGTGCGCACCCGCACCGCACACCGGACTGGTAACGGCGGGGGCACAATGGCGGAGGTGCTGTAGCCGCGGCGGCGGGACTCTCTCTGCGTGTTGGCGAGGATGGGAGCATAAATATGCCTTTCCATGCGTAATGAAATGCATGTAGCCCGTGTGCGGCTCGCCATTTTTATTGTTTGTTGTTGTTGTTGGCTATTACTGCTGTATTCTTCTGCCAAACATGCACATCACTCTGCTTCCTTTGGAAGAATGAAATTCCCTGAGTTTCTTTTCGTTTTCCTTCATTTCTGTCCCGCGCTCTCTCCTCCTCCCCCTCTTCACACTCACTCTGCGCCCCGGCCTTACAGAGTTGGATCGGCAGACGAGATAGCAGCGTACATTTGGTCGTAGCACCTTGCTGAGCATATTACTGTGGTGGAGCACGACAAGGGACAAGGGAGATAGATAGAGAGAGAGAGAGAGACAGAAAGAGTTGTGGTGGGAGAATGGAGGATTTTTGCATTATGCGGAATGTGCACTCCTATACCCCGAGGAGCTGCGACGACAGATGCTGCTTGTGTACAGCATACATTCCTCCGATAATCATATTGGTGATTTGTTTATCCCTGGCTGGCGGCTACAATGCGTACTTTGTTGTATTGTGCATAAAGTTTCATACGGAATGGCGGCTTGCTGTCTGTATTATATCTCTTGTTGTCGGTGACATGGCCACGGCGCTGCTGTTATGGGCCTTCTACCGCGTCGTCACCACTGCAGCGGGCTATGTGTCATCCGAGCCGTGGAAATATCCACCAACNTATGTGGGCAAGAGTCCCGACTACCGACCGCCCAATTCTGCGGATCCTGTGGTCAATCCATACACCGTAACACAGTTAGACCGCAATAATCGTTTGCGGTTTTGCGAGCAGTGTGGTCAATTCAAACCCGATCGGGCGCACCACTGCACCATGTGTGGGCGGTGTACGTATCGTTTTGATCATCACTGCCCCGTCGTGAACAACTGTATAGGCCGCGAAAATTACAAGATGTTTGTTCTCTTTCTCATGTATGCTGCCCTGGCTGGTTTTTTAGATGGCGGCTTGATGCTGTTGGGATTCTTTGTCATCGAGGACGGCGATTGGAGCGTCTTATGGTTAATGGTGGCCGTTTTGATGATGTTATTGAGTAGCTCTGTTTTCTTGTTCGGCCTGACGCATGTGTGGTGGCTCAGTCGTGGTGAGTCCACCATGTCTATTCGCGTTGCATCGTACGACAAGTCAAAGCGGCTCCCATCCGCAGAACGACGTGCGGAGCGGGATATAGAGCGGCGCAAGCATTGGGACGCCGTACTCGGCAGCGACAGGCGGTGGTGGCGTGTCATTCTCCCACTGCGTCCGACGCGCACGAGTGAGGAGGTGCCTATTTAGTAGATATTTGTGGCATTCCTCTTCTAGCGTATAGATGAGGGGATTTTGTGTGGCCAGCATCTTTTTTTTTGTAGTTTGTTTGGCTCTTTTTGTTTTGTTGTGTGATGTGGCCCGTGCGGTGTGCATAGGTGTACTAGTTGGCTCACGCGGCAGCCATGCCTTGCTATTTAGTTTTTATCCCAACGCGCAGCAGTTTACTCCTATTGTTTTTGTTTCTTTTGTGCTGGTATATATATATATATATATATATATCTGTGTGTATGTTCTTCTCTGTCTCCGTGGTGCTGTGCTGTGCTCCTCACCGGGGCCTCGGTGACGCTGCGGCATTCCTGCCTGTCCTGCCTCTCATTCTTCTACATTCTTGTGCAAATATTCTTTTTCCGTCCAGGAGTTTCGCTTCTGCGTGTGTGTGTGTGTGTGTGTGTGTGTGTGTTATAAAGGTGGGAAGGGGACCACGTTTAAACCCAACGATCATGCCACTCTTTGCCGATAAGAACATAGCCGCCAGCAGCTGTGGGAACAGAATGAAACTGCCTGCCATTCGGGCGGCACACGCACCCCCGCCGTCCTCAGGAGAAACAGAGTCTTCTGCAGACGAGTTGATGCGGCTGAAACACCTCCTACAGTCGCAGCAGGACCGCTTAAATGAGCGCTGCCAGCTCTTCATGAGTAAGAGTTGGAATTCAAAGAACAGCAATAACGGCGATACCTTCGAACAACCAGTAAATATGTCGATGCGGGAAAACCTACCGCAGAGAGCAGTCAAGGAAGTTGCGTCACTAAACTTCAGTGGAACACGAGGCATCCCCAGACATGCCTCGTTTACCCCGCCGACAGACGTGCCTCATCTGGCGGTGGGGATGCAGGAAGATAAGCAGCTGCATGCGGAGGAAAGCGATCAGGATAGCGAAGTCCAGCAGCTTGAGGAAGACCTCAACCGCCGCCACTCACGCATCAACCGCATGCAGCACGAAATGGCACGTGCGTGGCGGGCACCACACCGTAATGCTTTGGCAGCCGTCCAGCCTCCACTGCCACCCGTCTTGCTAGCCAACAGTGATCGTGAAGTGGCGGAGATGGCGGCGTTGGTCTACGATTTCGCCAACGCACCTAGAAAGAAGAATTCGACTGATTCGCGCGATGTGCCCAAGCTCCCGCAGCTGGTCGACACCAGCAACATGGATGAGCTTCTGACGAGTGCAAACGGTTCCACACCCAGCATGCTGGGCGACGCAGACCACTCTATGGGGAGCATGACGATGGATCGCCTGTCGATGCGGTCGAGCAGCATTCTCCGCGTGACAGACGGGGCGGTCGCCTTGATGGAGCTCCTGGCGAACCAGCGCGACGTGATCCTGCCATCACCCAGCGAGATTGGCGTCGCGCGCAGCGGCGATGTTCTCTCCGCGTACCACGTTCTCAAGGTTGACCTACAGGACGCGCTGCGGAGCCGCAAGGGACCAACGGGTATCATCGCCGGAGCCCCTTTCTTCCGTATGGTGCCGAAGCTTAACATTGGAGGTGTCGCGCAGCCGAATATCAGTTCGATTTGTACAATTGTGAATGAGCTGCGCCGCGCCTCTGACGGCCACGTTGAGTGGGTCAACCTCCGCGAGGAGCCGCTAATTTATGTCAACAACGAGGCCCATATTGTCCGAGAACGTAAAGACCCTTTTCACCCTATGCTTATCCCGAACGTCACCGGCCGGAGCATCGCGCAGATCGAGGAAAAGCTCAAGCAAGAAGTTCTGAAGGAGGCACGCGAGAATGGCGGAAACATAAGTGTGCACATGGAGGGAAAGGAAGGTGTCATGGAGGACCAGTGGGAGTGCGCGGATACGGGCCAGGTGTTCACGCTGCATGAGGTCTTCAACATGCTGCGGCCGAATGTGACGTACTACCGGCGCCCCATCACACGCAACGTCGGGCCGCAACCGCAAGACTTTGACTTCATATATGACCTCTGCATGGAGGATCCACGGGCTGTCATTGTGTTCAACTGCCAGACCGGACGGGGGAAGACAAGTGCCATGATGATGATCGCCAGCATTGTGCGCTTCTACCAGCTCTGTGCACAAGACGCGGCAGTCGATATCCGATTATTGCGGAGTGACACGGGCTGCTTTCATTTCCGCACCATCAAGAAGATTGTCTCACTAATTCCAGACGGCAAAATCCACGAACGCCGACTCATGGTACTGCTGGAACTCTCTGACAAGGTTTACTCCATTGCAGAGCACATCAGTGCCGCGTTCAATGCAGGCACAGCCACTGCTGAAGAGGCCATTATGCATCTACAGCAGTACGCCTATTTCATTGTCTTTTCATACTACTGCGAGCAGCGTCTGTGGAGCTACAATACCAAGGCTCCATTCAGTGTCTGGCTTTCGGAGAACAACGAGTTGAAGTTCTTGATCGCCAGCATTCTGTCGATGGAGGAGGAGTACAAGGAGGAGCGCATCGCCGCCCCCCTCGCACATGGGGAGGAAGCATGGGCAGCCAATATTGTGCGCAAACGTCGCGGTAATGTCTTGAGTTCCGGCCGTATCTTGTGCAGCGTGCCGATGGAAACAGACACTGTTGGTGGCGTCAATGCCCTGCGACAACTGGCGCCAGATGTGCCCATCTTTACTTGCGGTCGGCTGTCGGAGGCGGGCCGCCAGTTCCTCGTGTCGGAGATACGGCAATGCTTTCCCAACCAGAAGCGCATTCAGTGGATTAGCCTCCGTGCCGAACCGATGGTGTTCATCAATGACGTCAGTTTCACCTTGTCCGACTACGACGCTGTTGCATGCAGCCCGGGAGAGATGGGCTCGACCATGCATGTCTCACTGCAGGCGATGGAGCAGATAGAGGAGCGTCTGCGTCGGGACGTTCTTCTTGAGGCGCAGGAGCACAAGGGTGAGATCCTGCTGCACCGAGTCAACGAGGAGAACATGCGCACTGCGATACGCGTCAAGGTGTGCTCTGTTCGCACGCCCAAATCTACCATGGCGGACTTTGCCTCTGAATGCGATGTTCGATACCACCGCATTCCCATTCCGTTCTCAGGGCACATGGTGGCCTTGGACATGGACCCACTGCTGGAGTACTTGAGTAAGTTTAGTGTGGACCATGATGTCTTTATAATCAACGACACGGAAGGCTCTACACGAACTACAGTGGCGCTCAATCTGCTCACCGTCTACCGCGCCTCACGTGTGCGGAACCTGCGGCTTCTCACTGGCCCGGAGGACTTCACTGAGGTGCTGCGTGTTGGTCACTCTGGTGTGGTTCTGCCGCACGCGCAGATCGTCAGCTCTGTGCAAGTGAACTCAAACGAGCTACCTAAAACGCCTGTCGAGCTCCTGGTCGCGTCGACTATATGCCAAATGCTCACAGCAGGTTCACTGTTACGGGTGGTGGAGGGGGCGATGGACCTTGGTGGACGCGGCACGCGTTGGAATATCCTCCATGCCCTGAACCGCCTGAAGGAAGAGATCATGAAAACCAGCGCCAACAAGGTGAAGGTGATGCGTGAAGCCGTTAGCATGGTGCGTACGTACCTCCTGGTGCTATTGTGCACAATCTACATTGACTCTGTTGGTGACGTTAGCACGTCGGAACCATTTAGCGACTGGGTGGAAAAACGGGTCGAGGTGGCCAATATCATTGCTAACCTGGACCAGCGTGCGGAACACACCATCAAGTACGTGGAGTCCCACAACCTTTTGAAGGCGGATGTGTCGCGCCGCAACGGCGACGTGCTGACGGCGAACTTCGCGCTCAAGGCGGACCACTTCCCAGGCTGCCAAAAGAAGGGACTTGTACCGGAGGTCTGTGGGGCACCGAACTTCCGCAAGGTGGATAACGTTAATGTGTACGGCGTGGCAATTCCGACNCTGATGGGCATACACAACATCCTTTCAGTCCTCGGTGCTGCTCAGGAGCCTCTGAGAGCATACCCCGGAGAGCAAAACGACAAGAACATGTATATTGCCTTTGCCGCCCCGCGGCTGTTTGACCCGCGATTCCGTCCTGAGGAGCTGTCGAAGCCACTCCGCGGCCACGTTGTATGGGTTAACCTGCGCGAGGAGCCGATCTTGTACGTTGGCGATCGGCCCTTCGTGTTCCGTAACCTTGAGGCACCGTACGTGAACGTGGAGCTGAGCGGCATCGCCGCAAACAAGGTGGAACATGTGGAGACACAGCTGCGGGCCGATGTGCTGAAGGAGGCAGAGCAGCACAACGGCATGTTCCTCGTGAATGATGAGGGCAACCCCGGCGAGCTCGTCGGCTTGTGGGAGAAAGCGACCACGGAGACAGTTAAAACCGTGCGGGAAGTGTATAACGAGTTGCTGACGCAGGACTACCGCGTCTCGCTGCTTCGTCTCCCAGTGACGGATGAACAGAGCCCCGACGTGGAGGACTTTGACGCCCTCGTTGCAGCGTTGCTGCCACGCATCACGGCACACATGGACCGCCGCGAGACACTGTCCTTCGTCTTTAACTGTCAGATGGGGCGTGGCCGCACGACGACCGGAATGGTGGTCTGCTGCCTGTTGATTGGCCTCGTCATTCCCGAGTACTACAATGAGCTGGACATCATATTTGACCCGCTCTACCACCCCGATGAGTCTCCGCTCTCACGCGGGGAGTACGGTTGTATTGTGCAACTGAAACGTGTGCTGACGGGTGGGCGAAGTGCAAAGCATCACGTGGACCTTGTCATTGAGGCATGCTCCAAGATGCAGAATCTACGTACCGCTATTGAGTCCTTTGCACTGCAGGTGAAGTCCCCCGACGTTACGGAGTCACAGCGTGGACGGGCACACCACCATGGTGTGCACTACCTCCGCCGTTACTTCAACCTAATCACTTTTGCTGCGTACCTGCATGAGGAGTACACCGCGATGAAGAAGCAGATGCGCTGCACATATGCGTCATGGCTTGCACAACGACCCGAACTCACCACCCTGTGTGAATCTGCTGCTCTGAAATAGATTTTTTTTTTTTTNTTTTTTTTTTTTTTGTGACAGCCTCCTTAACCGACAAGCAACCTGGTTTTACCGGTTGCCTTCACACGTTGTGAGGGACAGAGGCGCTGTGCTTTGGTTGGTGGTAAGCGTGCGCAATGTATAGTGAAGATAATTCCATGTGATTGAGATGTGTGTAACAAGCCACGAGTACGTCAACCAAACAACCAAAACTACACCCAAAACAACACAAAAAAAAATATCTGGTGATAACCGTGCAACTATAGTAGAGTTCTTTGATGTGTGTAGATGTCCGCTGCGCTACAGATGACGCGTATGGCGTGAAATAAGGCACCACCCTGGCTTGGAATGCGGGTGCATTTCCCATTGTTCTCTTGTACTCTACAATGCGTGGAAGGCGGCGAGGTGCGGACTCCTGCCCCGCCTCATGCTTTCTGCGGAAGATATACTCTCCCACACCGCATAACACAAACAAACAAAAAAAACAGTAGCGGAGAACATCCAGGGAACGAATCACGCGTTCCTTGTGCTCTGTGTGATGTCGTGTTCCTTTGTGCCACGGCAGACATCATTCTGCCGTTTGTGTTTTTTTGTAATTTTTTTTTCTTGTTTCTCTTCTCCTTCCGCTTTACCTCACGAACAACCAACCCTTACTGCCACGTTTCATGGCCCGGTAGGTGCTGCTGCTGCGGGGAAAGGAGATGACGGAGGGNACACCCACCCCTTACTGCCACGTTTCATGGCCCGGTAGGTGCTGCTGCTGCGGGGAAAGGAGATGACGGAGGGTCTGGAGTTGCCATTTCAGTGGGATGACGGCAACTTCATCTCTCCGTTTGTCAGCAGCAGCGACGACGCCGTCGCAGCGCTTGCGGCGTGGATGCACGACTCGCCGCTGTTGCCGCCGCACAAGGATGCGCTGCGACTAACCGACCTTGGCTGCGGCGATGGCCAGGCGCTATTTGCGCTGAGCGCCAACCTCTTCTCGCTGCGTGGGGGCAGCAGTCACGGTGACGCTAGTCCACTCCAGCTGACGGTCGTTGGATTGGATCTTGACGAGACTCTCGTTAATGCGGCACAGCAACGCGCTGGCTCCACCGTTGTTGTGCCGCCACATCAACTTCGGTGCGTTTTCGAATCCGTCGACGTGCGCCACTGCGATGTGGATCGTTACTT